TGAATGAGTTTGGTTCAGTAAAGAGGAGCTAGAAAGTATATGTCTGTGGTTTGTCTTTGTGAAATTATATGGCTCTATCTTTCTCCAAGTATCAAATGCTTTAAAATTTTTTCTAGTATCCAGGCAACATGCTGCCTCCACTTAGTTGTTACAAAGTTCTGAATTAAAAATAGACCCTGGGGCCGAGCCCATGGCGCACTCGGGAGAGTGAGGGGCTGGGAGTGCAGCAGCGCTCCCGACGCGGGTTCGGATCCTATATAGGGATGACCGGTGCGCTCACAGCGCTCACTGGCTGAGCGCGGTGTGGCTGGTCTCAAAAAGGACAAAAAAATAAAAAATAAAATAAATAAAATTTTTTAAAAATAGACTCTGTTGTGCTGTGTTCTGAAACCTAAACCCATATGTTTTAAAGGAGTCAAAGGTCTCCCTTGGAGTTAGAAGGGGAAAGGGTCATGTCCTGGCACCTCTATAGCGTATGCCAAGCTGTGCAGAGAACATTGGAGGGGCTCGGTGTGTGTGCAAGGCCAGCACCTCACTATGGTCCTGTTGGTCCATTGGCGGTGTCCTGGTGGCTCAGTGTTTGCAGGGACAGAGCTGCTGGTTCTAGAAGAGCAACCACCAGTACTTCGCAGAGAAGGTTGTCACCAGCATGGCTTACTAATCGCTGATCTGAGGCACTCCTGATGGCATTTCAAAGTGTTTTTCCACAGTTTTAAAGCACATCTTGCTCAACATTAGGCCGTGCCTAATGTCCAATGGGAAAATGTCAGGCATGGGGTCTTTACCTCTAGTGGCTTAAGAAACCATGTCACAGCGAATATAATCAGATATTTGCATGAAGCAGACAAGATGTGCTTTTTCCTATTTCTTTTTTTTTTTTTTAAAGATGACCAGTAAGGGGATCTTAACCCTTGACTTGATGAAGTCAGCACCACGCTCTCCCAAGTGAGCTAACCAGCCATCCCTATATAGGGATCTGAACCTGTGACCTTGGTGTTATCAGCACCACACTCTCCCAAATGAGTCACGGCTGGCCCTCTTACATTTTTTAATTAACAAATAAAAAGTGTACACATTTATCATCTACAACATGATGTTTTTAAATATGTATACATTGTGGCATGGCTCAATCGAGCTAATTAACGTGAGGTAAGAGTGCATCACCTCACATAGTTATTTCTGTGGTGAGAACACTTAAAATCTACTCTCTTAGCAACTTTCAAAATACAGTAGGTTATTAACTATAGTTACCATGCTGTACTATAGATCTCTTGAATTTATTCCTCCTGTCTCACTGAAATCGTGTATCCTCCGACCAACATCTTCCCAGCACCCCCCCGCCCCCCCACCTCCCCCAGCCTCTGGTCACCACCACTCTACTCTCTACTTTTATGAGTTCAGCTTTTTTAGATTCAACACATAAGATGCTTTCTAATTATACCCAAATGCACCAATGTTAAAGCATTTAATTTTTACACAGAGATGGGCAGGAGGAAACTTTGAGGTGTCATCCCTACTGTGACAGCAAAATACTGCCTTTTGTTAATAACTCACCATGTTATTAGTAGTGACATTCATGATGGTGTTTATACTAGTTTACCAAGAGCTTTCCAAGTTTTTCTTTGGCTTACCCATGGTTGGGTGTGACTAGAAGCAAACAAAATATTTTATTCCTATTTTGTCAAAAGAAATGGCTCTCTCAGAGCTTCTTAGTTTGTTGAGGTCAAACATCCAGACTTAAAGAAAACTTCTGATTCTGACTCTAGCCTCGTCTTGAAGAAACAGATGTGGAATCAGCCTGGGCTTGGCTGTCAGACTCTCCCACACACTAGCAGAGGGCCTGGTGCAGATCACTTCCCCTTGATGAGCCTTAAATCCCACCTATTAAATGGGAATAATAGTTACTACACAGCAGGGTCTTTGAGAGGCTTAAATGAGTTAAGAGATTCTGATGTTAGAGGCAGCGAGTGTACTTGTTCATGATGTGGACTCTAGAGCCAGCCTCCCTAGGTGTGGAGTCTCAGCTCCATCCCTGCACTACCTATGTGACCTTGTGTAAGTTGCTAAAATTTCCTGAGTCTGTAAAATGCAGATAATAATACTTCCTCCCTCGTGGGGTTGTCATATCTGCTATGATTATGACAGGTTGTTATTACAGATGTTGTTATCCATATATCAAGTGCCTTGCACAATTAGTTGGCCAAAAAAGATTAACTTTTATTACTACTATTATTGTTTCTCCCATCAGAGCACTTAAATTTTAAGGCATCTAAAAGGAAAGTAATATTATCCCAGGTCTGTTTTTTGGTTTAACTAAACAGACGTCAATGGAATCCTTTCCAAAATCTTATTCTTTCAAGGACTCAAAACTTAATCTTAGACCATAGGAGAAAGATTTTTTTCAGTGCTCCTTAGAGCAAGAACAAATTATTCGGCTTTACCTCAGACCTTCTGAATTGGAAGTTCTGGGGATTTGAGCCATCATCTGTTTTAGCAAGCTTCCCTGATGATTCTCATGCTCCCCAAAGTTTGGGAACACCAGGTGTACACTACTCACAACTTTGACTGCCTTCCATTGCAAAAGTGCAGACAACAAAGAATTGGGAACTCTGTTTGACAGCTTGTTCCAGCCCAAGAAGTGCTAAACAACTGTTACCATGGTAATCCCATGAATTGAGCAGAAATGCAGGTAGTTCTGGAAGGCAGAGTCAGAGATGGGGTGCAGAGAGGGCACAGCACTTAGAGAACTCGTGAGTCTGTTGATAGGCTTGGCACAGAATATTTGGGGGTATCGAGTCCTCTGGAAAGTGCACATCTTGTTCCATACCACTCTGAGTGATGGGTGTGAGAAGAGATGGCTTTTGAATTTTCATGCAGGGTTAAAATGAGGAAAATCCATTACAGCCTTCAGAAGTCAGATGTACTGGTACAAAAGGTCACTGACCCAATTGGTGGCACTGCAGAGCTCAGAGAGGGAGTATTAAAATAACAAGCTTTTTTTTTAAAGCACTAGATGCACTATGGGCTTAAGTCTCAATCTTGCCATCTTGCTGCCAGGGGATCCTTAGTACAGAGGCATGTGAAAAAAGAAAAACACTGACATTTTTCTACTTCTTGCAGGGTCAAGGATGTGTACGTAGTTGTCCTCAGACTGAGGATGATATAATATTTGCAGTGGAATAAACAAAGCATTTAAATGATGACTCCATGGGCAAGTGGTTGTTGCTAGTTGTATGTGGAGGTGACTGAGCAGTACTGACTGAGCTTGGCCATGCGGATGAACCCAACAAGTATTTATTGGAGACCTTGCCCTGTGCTAGATGTGGTGTGTTTGAGGATCAAGTTTGGATGACTGAAGATTATAGTGTTATGGGGGAGGAAGCCAGTTTTGGAGGTCGGGGTGGAGAGGTTGTAAGATGTTAGTTTGGTTCTGTATATATTGCCGTTTGTAATAACAGGACAGCATCAAAATAGGTTGAAAAGATCTGAGAGTCATATGCATAGAGACACTATTTGAAGCCATTAACTATGTAGTTAAGGAGATCTGAGGATCATGGATCAAACTTTTAGGGACACTGCAAATATAGCAAATAGAATATGAAAAGTCAGTGAAGAAATGACAGGAGAGACCATCAGAAAAGCTAGAAGTGGTCCCAGGCCATGTTCTATCATAGAAATCAAGAGGAGAAATTTTTTCAAGAAGAGAGAGATGTTCTTTGGTGTTAAAAATGTGAAGAAATAAAAAAAGAAAGCATGTGGGGAGGTGGGGATGGGTCTTGGGTTAACCAAATGGAAATATTAACTCAAAAAGAAAGTATTTCTCTACAAAATGGGTGATCTTTATTACATTCAAGTCAAAGTTTCTCAGTGTTGGTACTATTAACATTTGGGGCTGAATAATTCTTTGTGGTGGGGCTGTCTTGTGCATCGTGGAAGGTTTAGCAGCATCCCTGGTCTCAGCCCACCAATGCCAGTAGTAACACCCCCACCACCAATTGTGATAACCAAAAAATGTCTCAAGACATTGCTAAATGTTCCTGGTTAAGAACCGCTGATTTAAGTATTTTTTTAGCTCCTACTGTGTATGTGGTACTACATGAGGTGTTGCAAGGCATGAAAAGTGTGCCATACTTTAACCATTAAGAAGAATACATTCTAGCTTTCCTAAACTGAGTCATTCTGTTATTTCTCCTTTTACATTGGTTAAAACTATGTATGTGTATACTCATACAGTACACGCACATATATATACACATGAATATATATGTATATGGTAGTTATTCTCCAAATTAACATGACATTTATTTAATTATGGAATGATATTAGTAAAGTACTAAATTAGAAATATTGCTGTCCCAGTGCTATATGTTTTATCACAGATTAGTGTAGGAAATTTGGATTATGAATCCACAGTGAGACTAGTAAGCAATTTCCAAATTAAACTCTTTGTGTATTCCAAAGACTCAAATTATTTTTTGTTCTCATTTCTTATGAGTCTTATGAGTCTTACTCATAGGTATGTTATAGAAATACTGATTTTTTTTAAAAAGTGTGACCATACCATTTACCTTTGGGTAGAAATTAAAATGCTGTATATTGAAAGTGTTCTACCAAGTTTCTAAGTACTTCAACTAAAGAAAGGTGAATATTTTGGACTGTAGAAAAGATTATCACACACACAAAAATTTCATGACAGGAAGGATCCTTAATATTTGGAATAGATACTTTATCAAAGGAAGTGATCTGTCATCCTCCCAAACTTCCACTTCCTTGTTGTTTAGGAACAAGAAAGAAATTCCAACCGTAGTTCCTGTAATCCTTAATATTTGGAATAGATACTTTATCAAAGGAAGTGATCTGTCATCTTCCCAAACTTCCACTTCCTTGTTGTTTAGGAACAAGAAAGAAATTCCAACCGTAGTTCCTGTTTTTGCTGCTTGTAACATTGAGCAAGGCCCTGACTATTGAGTCTAACATTGAGACCCTTGTTTTCTTTGCAGACTGCGTCATCTGCTATTAAAGGTGCTATTCAGCTGGGAATAGGATACACAGTGGGTAATCTCACTTCCAAGCCAGAACGAGATGTTCTCATGCAAGACTTTTATGTGGTGGAAAGTGTGTTCCTACCCAGGTAAGAACATTTTTATTTGCGATGATTTCCATGCTAAGAAGCCTTCCTTGTGACACCCCACATTGAAGGGCTCTTCTACCATGTACATGTTCATGTGCATTGATGTATATGTTGGGCCTTTGGTGGGGCCAAAAGCAGTCCAAGTGTTGTTACTTCCCAATCCATGAGAAGGACTTGCATGTTTTGGGAGGTGGTAAATGGGTTTCATCTATGGGCCAGTTGTAATCAGTTGTGATGAACGCCTGGAAGACCGTCTGGAGAGAGATTTTGAGATTCAGTGGGAAAGAATGCAGTAATCACAAAGTCATGTCTGCGAGGGTTTAGAAAAAGAGGGTTTCCACGAAGCAGCAATGGGTACCAGGTTTTTCTATCCCTAGTTTAAAAGAATGGGCTAGTGAGCCCACAGCTGGGCCTTGCACCTGAGTTCAATCCTATAGCTCCTCTTGTGTGATGACCTTAACTCTCCTCCAGAAAACACGAGAAGCCTGCTGTTTTGACACCATGTTTGCAAAAACACCAAAGTTCCCCATACATTTTGCCTCTAGTTTTTGTCATTTGGGTAACTGTTTAAAAACAAATACATCTGGAAGTGGATGGTGGTGATGGTTGCACAATAGCGTGAATGTCCTTAATGCCGAACTGTACACTTAAAAAGGGTTAAAACGGTAGGGTTTATGTTGTGTATATTTTACCACAATAAAATAGATATATTAACAAATCAATTAAAAGTCTATCACCACCTTTATATAGGAAGAGAAGTAGCAATCATTATTAAACTGGAATTATCACCACAACTGACAGGACTTTTCAAAGAAAATGGTCTAGAAAATAAAAATAAAGAAATTCAATTTGGAGACTTGGGGATAATTATTTTGTCTTTGGGCTATGAGGATTGACTTTTCAGGCACATTTATATTTAAAATAAATATTTCTCTTCAAAATAAGCCATTTTTTGTCATTTATTACTGGGCTTGGGTGACAGTAGCTGGGGTGACACTTTCACCCCCAGTGTTCTCATTGCCTTATTTAAAACATATATGTGTATGTTAGGAGAATGATATTCACACATTTGACTCTGTGTCCAGGTGCCAACTGCCTAAAATAAGACTTTAGGTGAATGTGCAGTAACTTCCTACATAGTCACAAAGGAGCCCATGAAATTTTTTAAAAAGTCAGCTGTGGACTCCGGCAGCCTAGTTTTGTGTGTTTGTTTTTAAATCTATTTATCATTCCCAAAAAAGTGTGTATTAACTACATTTTTTTTTCTCTTATAAACCAGGAAGTCATGAATTTATCTTAATATTTTGGTATAATTTTTTAGGCTCAGAATTCCTATAAATGTGTTTGCAGGATGTCCTAGATTGCATTGTCTTCAAGGGCCTCTACCCAGACATTTCAACCTTACTTTTTTCTTAGGGTGCCTTAAACAAGGAGAATGGAGGACTTTCGTGGGAGGGTGGCTGTCAGTGAGTTCAGGGCACTGAGAGCAGCTACTGCTGAAGACAGGTGTGCAACCAGGGGCCAGCTGCCCCATCCCTCCCCGCTGATCTCTTCTCTTTACAGCGTCTGGTCAACACAGCCAAGCTTGATGGGCTCTCAGGGAAGCATGGCCCAAGCATACGGTCCCCAGACCCCACAGCATCAGCATCACCTGGAACTTATTCCTGGGCTCCACCTCAGACCAACTGAATCAGAAATTCTGTGGGTGGGACCCAGAAATCTTTTTTAACAAACCCTCCAGGTGATTCTAAGCACATTAAAGTATGAGAACCACTGGCCTAGTACGTTACTTCCCATTTTTGTTCTTGGAGTTATTACATGACTCTTACAACTAATAATACTCCAAATTATTTTAAATTAGTATCTGAAATATCAAAATTACACCTATTAGCAACTAAATTATACATAACACTGTATAAAATGCTCTACAATAAGAAGCACATAAACAAGGTACTCATACTTTGGTACTTAAAGGCACTTTTGGATGACACCCCTTTTGTTCATAGGGGATTTATTATAAGCCTACTACATCTTTGTGATTAAGACAAAACGATGATTTTTTTCACTTTTTTCTTTAGGAGTAGGAAGCTAAAATTGTAATTACCTGGACTCTGTGTCTTTGGCCTTCACTGTGTCATCCAAGGTCCCAGCGGTAGACACATCACTGGTGGAGGAGTAGCTAACTTCCCCTTATTTAGAGGTGTCCACTGTCACATTTAAAATATATCAGTTTAGAGTATTTATAGCTTTTAAATGTCAGTACAACATTAAACGTTTGATGCAGAACGAGAATTTCTTTCTGCAAATACTATATTGTTTGTTTAAATAACACATGCACTTCAGATGTATTGACATGAAAACAAAAGGAACTTACGTTGGTCTTTGCCTCAGTTTCCTCCTGGACCCAGTTTCCTTATGGGTTCATAAAAGGGATTGGGCCCAGTGTTTCTCAATGGAGGTGCTACTGGCTTGTTTGGATGAGACAACTCTGTGCAAGACTGCACATTTCAGGAGATTTGTCATCTGGAGCAATCAAAAAATCCCCACAGGGCCGGCCCGGTGGCGCAGTGGATAGTGCGCCGCTTGGGAAGCGCGGCGGCGCTCCCGCCCGAGGGTTCGGATCCCACATACAGACCGGTTCCTGCTCACTGGCTGAGTGAGGCGCGGGAGCAACACCGAGGGTTGCGATCCCGTTGCCGGTCCCGGTCCGGTACGGGGGCAACACTGAGGGTTGCGATCCGTTGCCGGACACGGAAAAAGACAAAAAAAAAAAAAATCCCTACAAAGTGATGAGTGAATGTAGTATCTTGATTGTGGAGATGGTTTCACAGGTGTATTACACAGGTGAAAAATTAGCAACTTGTACACTTCATTGTATGTCAATTATACTTCAATAAATCTGTCAAACAGTGCCCCAACTCCCAGCCCCACGTGTCTAAGCACATCTGGGGATGGGCATAGGGGAGGTGGGCA